AAAAAAAAAAAAAAAGATGGCCGGGCACAGTGGCTCACGCCTGTAATTCCAGCATTTTGGGAGGCCGAGGTGGACAGATCACCTAAGATCAGGAGTTCGTTACCAGCCTGGCCAACATGGCGAAACCCCATCTCTACTAAAAGTACAAAAATTAGCTGGGCGTGGTGGCGGGCACCTGTAATCCCAGCTACTCAGGAGGCTAAGGCAGGAGAATTGCTTGAACCCGGGAGGCAGAGGTTGCAGTGAGCCGAGATTGTGCCACTGCACTCCAGCCTGGGAGACAAGAGGGAGACTCTGTCTCAAAAAATAAAAATAAAAAATAAAAATAAATTACTATATTAAATGGGCAGCTGTTAAAGTAAGAGTTGATTCTTAAAATATTATATGAAATGGAGACTTCACATGAATAATTTTTAAATGCAAATGATAAAATGTCCTTTTTTCTTTCCTTCCCATTAGGCTTCCTTACCATCATGAGGATCTGTGGTTTGTTTTTCTTGGCTAATTCGGTAACATCCACTCCATTATAATACAGATTTTCTAAACAGCCATGAAAGCTTTTACGTGTGAATGCCCGTGCTCTTCCAGGTGTCGGAACTCCCCCAAAGCTGATCTTAGAAAGAAAAATGACATAAATAACATTGTTTAGTGATTTTCAGATTACGTGTTTAAAGCATCTATAATAGCTCCAGTACTAACTGTCACAAATCCATTCCCATTATCTTATATTTCCATGCTTGCTAATTCCAAATGAAGTGTTCTATCATAGTGGCAGCTGTTAATACCTTCATTTCTGGCACCAGACAGTTTTGAACAAACTTAAAGGAAGAAGTCAACACACATTTTCTACCACATCGAACATTTTTCAGCCATGTAGTAAATGTTGTTTTGTGGGTCAGAGGATCTCTTTTGCAATACACAACTCTGACACTGGAGTACCAATGTGGCCATAGACAATACATAAAGAAAGAGAATATGTTCCAATAAAACTTTCTCTTTTGAACAAAAACAGGCTTTTAATTTATTAAAAAATGGCCAAACTTTGCCTGATGCCAACCTGTGCATTAGATATTATCTTCTGCTATTACATGGTTAAAGTAATAAAACTGAATAATCTGATATAGGACTAGTATCTTCAGTTTAATATTATATGCCAAAGTCACTTAAATATCATAGTTTTTCTGGTTTGTTCTGATCCTTCATACACTTTAAGGTGTCCTGTGAAGGACGGGAAGAATAGATGCTATTTAACAGTGTAGCTTAGATATATATGGGCAATGGGTTGCAAAAAGAATGAATGCCTTAAAAAATATCAGGAAATTATTTATATGTGAGCTTCTGACTTTCTTGTTATTTAATATATCTATTGGTGTATATCTTGTTAACTTCTCATAGTGATCCTAGATAACGCTATGTTGGTTAGGATTGCACCAAGACAAGAAAAAAATCCCCAGGAATCTGCATAGACAAACAACAAGTGTAATATACCAGATGAAATTTCAAATGAAATGTATTCAAATGAATACATTTAATAACATTGCTTGCTGCTTTGATATTTCTTCATTTGTAAATTTCCCAAACCTAACACTGACTGTTTACTTCCTTTCAAGGTGGAAAAGATGATCTATAATAATAAATTGACCTATTAGAGGCATAAACAGTTTCATAGTACCAGGACAGACATACCTATTACTATTAGTCAACTTAGTTATGAATTACTATAAAATGGCATTTCTCTATGCAGTTAGCTTATTTTTCAGGTTATATTTAATTTAAACTATATATCTATAAGAACCTCAAAATTAAGATCCAAGTAACTGGATTCTCCCTTTGCTTGGAAATGATGAGTGTGTTTGTCCACGGTGAAGTTGACCTGCGTGTCGAGGAGCTCAATGAGGACAGAATGCCAGTGCTGGTCGTCCAGCAGGCTGCCCAGGGTGAGGGTCACAGGAGCAATAGTGGTAGGCACCTTAGCATTGCCTGAAAGGAGAGGGAAAAAAACACTCAGTTATTTCTGTTCAAAATCATGGCTTCCCTTTTTTAGTTGAGCATCACAGTTTGCTTCCAACTTTCCATCTTGCAGAGTTGTTTTCTCACTTTCTCCCTATCTTGAACACAACATCCTTACACTGTTTTTATTTCTTTAAGTTCAATTCTACACTTCACTGAAATTTTTCTTAGTAATTTATTTTTTCTATTATTCATGACATTTATATTTACACTGCAAATATTTTCTTTCTTAGAACCTCATTATCAGCATTATCTCGTAATTTTACAATGATCTATTCTTGTCTTGATATGTATAATCATATATACTACATATATATTATACACACATATGGTGATCTTCTTGTCAAAATATAGGCTGTTTACAGAAATCATACTTAGGATATGTACATATTACATGCATCTGTTAGTAATGCTCTTAAACTTTCATTTACATTTGTTCATTGCAGTTCTACTTTGCGCTTACTGTCCCAGAGTAACTATCACTTGTGTATTTTTTATTTCTTAAAGGTGTTCTGGTTTAGATGATGAATTATATGGTCATTTTATCTAAATGTGAAAAGATTGAGTACCAACAAACGTACTTTCATGTAAACAGATTTTTTTAAACTACCGGCATAAAAGTTCAAGTATTTTTTTACCTGAATTAAGAAAAAAGACAAGTTTTCCTTTAATTAATTCCAGAGTAATGTGATTTCCATGTTGTCCTTCTCTGTGAAGTAGAATTCCATTGCTCTGTATGGCTTTAAATTTCAAAGAAATAATGTCCCTTACTGGTTTTAAAGGTTTTTTATCAAGTTTGTACAGCAGAGCACTTTGTCCATCAAAATAAACCACCTCGGATTCTAGGAAAGAGGATATTAAAAAGAAATTCTAAATATAAATATGCCATACAGTAGCACACTGAAACTGTGTGCATCAATATGCCACACCACACACACACAGACACACATTGCATTTCTAATCCATTCATTGAAGGAAACAACTGACAATCATATATTTTCTGTTGGCATCATAAGTTGATATACGTAATACCCACTGTTAGATTTTTCTAACATTTTCTCAAACTTCATCATCTAGAAATGCTTTTATTAATCTACTCCCAATGGCTCTTATCTTTAAGATAAAAGCGGTCCATTTCTTCTCATTCTATTTGATTAAAAACAATCAGGAAAGAAGTTGTATTTTACTACATAAAGTCTTTAAGGTCATTATTTTATTATTATTATTTTTTAATTACACTTTAAGTTCCAGGGTACATGTGCACAACGTGCTGGTTTGTTACATATGTATACATGCGCCATGTTGGTGTGCTGTACCTATTGACTCGTCTTTTACATTAGGTGTATCTCCTAATGCTATCTCTCCCCCCACCCCACAACAGGCCCCAGTGTGTGATGTCCCCCTTCCTGTGTCCAAGTGTTCTCATTGTTCAGTTCCCACCTATGAGTAAGAACATGCAGTGTTTGGTTTTTTGTTCTTGCGATGGTTTGCTGAGAATGATGGTTTCCAGCTTCATCCATGTCCCTACAAAGGACATGAACTCAATCCTTTTTTATGGTTGCATAGTATTCCATGATGTATATGTGCCACATTTTCTTAATCCAGTCTATCATATATTAAATATCAGTGTCACTCAATTTAAATACCTTTATTCATTCCCAGTAGTTTGGCTTCTCTTGATTCTTACACATGTACCTACTTTACTAAAGATTTTGTCGTTTGTAAAGATACACAAACACACACATATCATACTTATCAAATACTGCTTTGGACATGTAGTAAATGTATTTTAAATGAGATGACATGTAACATTTTTCTCAACCCTCAGCTAACAGTACTGCTAATGAGAACTGCAATGCGTCAACTTGGCTAGGCGATGGTAAACAGTTTTTGGTTAAACATTAGATGTTGCTGTGCAGGTATTTTTTAGAGGTAATCAATAATATATCAGTAGACATTGAGTAAAGCAGGTTAAACCCCATAATGTGGGTGGGCCTCATCCAATCAGCTGAAGGCTGTAAAAGAAAGAAAGAAACCTGAAGTTCTCTAGGGAGGAAGGAATTTTGCCTCCAGACTACCTTTGGACTCCAGCTGCAATATCAACTCTTACTTAGGACTTGCCAGTCCCTACAATCAAGTAAGCCAATTCCTTAAATAACTCTCTGTCTCTCTCTACACACACACACACACACACACACACACACACACACACATCACACATCCTGTTGGTTCCATTTCTCTGGAGAGCCCTGACTGATAAAGACACAGAGGTTTTGTTTTCTTGGATGCTTTGTCGAGACAGCATGGCCTGAACACCTCTGGTTTGGTTCTTCCTGCTGCAGCTTGTCAGAACTCCAATGCTGCCACACTCTCTCAGCACTCTGTCGGGTCTTATAATTCACTATAAATGTCACATATGTTCAGCTCATCAAAAAACAAGTTGTTTTATTTTATCAGGAATAAAAAATAATACTTGATATTTGTCAAAATTACCCAGAAAATCTTTTTCAAAAGTAAAAAGAAAAATAAGCAATTGTCCTTTGAAACATATATTTATTTAATAAATGATGCATGAAAATCCAGTGAGATATGAAACTATCTGAAGCTGACTAGCTGATGTCATTCAAGTCAATAAGATGGCATTATTTGTTTAATTATATTTAATTTCAAAAAAATATTACTAGTATTTTTTGCATGGCTATCCATTTCATTCACATTATCTGAACTATATATAATAAACTGCACTTCAAGAGTTGTCCATTTTATGTATCATTTAAAAATTTAGAAGTTTGATTTGCTCACATTGGGCTATTGTACTCATATGGAATTAATGTATCAAGTGCATGATGAATAAACACATTCTGAGTAAATTGTGTGTAAACTAAACAATTATTCTTTGTTATATAACTTATTATATGTTCACGATAAAAACAAAACTCTCTGTCAAATGTAAATGAAGATATCTAAGATTATTATTCCATGGCCATAAACTAAGGGAAACTTGAAAAAGATTAACTACAGACGTCCACAGTTTTAGCAACGTCCTACTACTTCAGTTTTTATCATGTCTTTATTTGTTGCTTAAAGAAAATGCTAATATTTGAGCTATATTTTTTCAGTTGACTACCAAAAAAGTTTTCTTCCCAAAAAGGTTTTTTTCTGGATTATTGCAACCCATACGTTTCTTTTTCTCAGTCTATGTTTACTATTACTCTCCAACAGTGGTATTGATCTTCTAAGGCATGTGAAGTATATTTCCTGGAATGTTTCCCTCAGGCAAATAGAATAGTAAAAAACGTATCAACTAAAAGAGACATAAAGCAATGACCTTGAAACTCTTTTGTCCTTTAGCTGATACCTTGATTTTCTCTTCATTGTAACTGCTAGTGCTTGTATCTAGAAATAATATAGCTCATTATGCATATTTTAAAATAAAAACAGACGAATGAATTGCAAATTCAAACTTCCTAAAAAGCATAAAACACTCAACTATGATTTATGAAGTCAATACATAAAAATATGAAACAAAAAACGATGTTTGGGATGGAAAGCATAGAGTTCAGTAAGTCAACAGCAATGAGCTCGCCAAGATCAGCGCTGGAGAGGGACAACTCCCACATAGTCCCTCTTGAATAAGATCCTCCCACTGGAGAAGCAAAATTTCCAGTCTTGGTGCTTAGAAGTAATGTTAAAAGGTAACCTCTCTTCCCACTTGTCCACAAAAGTCATACTTTTAGCATTTTAAAACACTTGCAAGAGGAAATAAAAGTTCTCCCAACTGGTCAGGTGCAGTGGCTCATGCCTGTAATCCCAGCCCTTTGGGAGGCTGACGCGGGTAGATCACTTGAGCCCAAGAGTTGGAGACCAGCCTGGGCAGCATGGCAAGATTGGTTACACTTGCCTATGGTCCCAGCTACTTGGAAGGGTGAGGTCAAAGGATTGCTTGAGCCCGGGAGGTTGAGGCTGCAGTTTGCAGTGATTGTGCCACGCACTCCAACCTGGGCAACAAAGCAAGACTCCGTCTCAAGAAAAAAACAGTTCTCCTACCTAGCCACAATCAATACAAATATTCCCCTACAATATATATTTGAATAAAACACTAAAATAAAATAATTCCAGTAACACATTTAATATAATCTTTTATCAGAAACCTGTTGGAAAAAATCCTTTGTATGAAATTCAATTGTATAAATAGGAAATGTAGTGGGATAATGGAAAATTAATGTCACTTATTTTGTTTACAGTAAAATCCAACGTTCCTCAAAGTTTGCAAAAGAAAAGCCTTGCTATCCAAAATGAATGAAGAACACTTAGCTCGTGGTTTAAAGTAGGAAGTGCTTTTCTAATTTTATATGAATTTAGTTTATAATTATTAGCTTTATTAATTAAGATTATAGTTTTGACTGCTGAATCTCTATCAGTATTAGCAATGTGGACCCGACACGTTAGTTTGTCACCATTAGATCAGGAGCTACATTTCCTAGTACACTAGAGTACTGTGTGGGCCTGAATCCCGGTTCCATCCTGGGTAAGTTACATAGCTTCTCTGTGCCTCAGTTTCCTCATATGTGAAGTGAGAACACATACACTCCTCTCTCACAAGGTTGTTGTGAGGGTTAAATGAGTTAATATTTGTACTTTACAACAGTGCTGGGCATATGGGGTGCCCCCTGTGGACATCTGCCTTATTATTATTGTCAGGGCACTGGGCAGAGAAAAGAGGTGGAAATTAGTTTAAAATAGCACATAGGAGATTTACAGGAAAGTAGACAGCTTAAAATGATAGCAGATTTAAGTTCTGAAGGACCTAGGAAATCTTCAGTTTCCATCAGGAAGAAGAGATTTACAACCATTCATCCACAGTTACACAGCTCCTTCTCTGCCAGCCAGCTTGTTCCTGGGCTGACTCACTTCAATCAATCTTACTCAGAAGTATTAATATGTCTGTCTCATTTTCTTGTGTTAGAGGACCATGAGGGTTTTAAAATGATACTTGAAGATTATTGGTGCAATTATAATGTCTTCGCCACGCTTCCTCAAAGAATACTGGAAGAGCTAAGGACAGATATGTTCACAAAGTTCCCAAATGCTAATTCTTGTAAGATAAAGAACTTTGTCATACAAAATATTCACATGTCTAGGAAGAACTGTGTCAGAAGTAATTTTGCTAAAATGTGTTATGTCCTAATTCATATAGCTAATATTCACTGAAGGCCTTCCATATGCTTGGTGAAATATAAAAATGCAAAAGGCAATGAATTACTTTCAAGGAGCCCACAGTATAGAAAAGAGGACATATAATGCTGAAATATGATTGTTTCTGCCACATTCACTGTGATGCTTCTGTAAACAGGCATCTGGTCCAGAATGACTTCTAAGAAACGATAAGGAAGGAGTCTACCTGCTTTAGACTCCTGCAAAGTATGAAGTCTCTGAAAAGCTAA